TATTTCGACAGAAGTTGTTTCATCTGTATTTGTAATGTAAGATATGGAAATAACGAACTGTATTCAATATCAATATCAATCAATATGAGATAAGAGGGAGGAGAAATAGGAGCAGAGCAAACACGGACCTCCAAAACAGCAGAGATGTGATCAGGTGCTATGGAGGAGTGAGCACCCCCTGCTGACCGGTCACACCCACCGTGTGCTCCTTGTCATGACTGGGAAATAACGGGAAAATCCATCGACAATTCAGTGTGTAAATCATGGCCTAACAATATTAGTGTGAAAACGCCAGTCAGCATTTGACTCAATGATAAATTGTATTTGATGACAAATTCATTGTATCGACCAAAAAATGATGACTTTAAACGAGACTGCTGATATTCTTGATTCATCAACTTGTTTGTCAATAACTTACCTCGTGTTAGATATTGTTCATACGTGAAGCATGCTCTTGCGTATCGAATCAAGATATATAAACTCCGTATGCAGGTGATGAAGGTATATTGCTGCATAAGTAAGGAAATATGACAATAGAAAAGTTAAAGTCATCACGTTTATTATAGAGCTTGGTTGTTAGATTACCATTAATGTCATTTTCAAGTAAAATAACTAAGTATGAAACAGATGTGTCAGACCCTGAGGTATCTTTTATCTCAAGCTTACCACGATATATCGTATCGACGTAGGAATGGAAATGACCATTGTTAATTGACAATACGTCGTCGATATATCTAAATGTCGAGTTGAAATAACGGAGCGCAATTGGTACCCTTGGAAATTCCATTAGATTGTTGGAGAACCTGGTCTCTAAAAACTATATAGATATTGTCAATCAGAAACTCAAGCATCTTTTAATGTCAATTTTAGAGTACTTGTGTGTGGAATCAGAATGTGTTGAAACAAAATAATTTTGCAAATGACCAAAGACCAGGTTAGTAAATTAACGAGTTCCATTTTTATTGGAAAAGTAGCTGTCAATGATATCAAACAGAAAGGAATGCATGATTTAATAATTAATGAAAGAAAAACTTTGATTGTCTATTAACTTTACTGAAAAATATTTAAAAACTTAATAATATTAAAATATAAAGTTTAGCACCATATTGGTAAATTTATTTTCAAAGATACATGTATTAGGATTCAAAATATACAGGTTTAAAACGTTACCAGGCAATCATTACAGTTTTTGTCAAATAAATAAGACGAATATGCATATGAAAAAGTAAAACTATACACACATATATATCTGTATAAGATACATTTCAAGACAATTACCTTCTCATTGTACCGAGCTGCAAATGAATTTAAGCACACTATAAAATTAATGGTTATGCATGTAAATACATTGCTCCATCAAAAACGGTAAGTGCCAATGCAGACTAGCTAATTAAAATTGAGAATATAATCTAATTAAAGAGTCTTCTAGCTAATTTTTAACTAATAAAGTACATCTTTCTAATCTACCTCTGTCTCATGTAAAAATGTAGAACTATAAAGGTATGTAAAAGGGGGGAGGTAGGCAACTGAACATCTGATGAAACAGTATTGCGGCATAGGAAAGTTTCCAAATTAAACGTTCGTGAGTTATCTTTTTCGATTTATGCACAATATACTCAAAGCTTGCTATCAATGGGTTTAAAAATTATGGGATAAAATAATTACAGATATTTCAAAAGCTTGAATCCAATAAAGCTACGTAGAACTTGGTAGCTTCTACATAATTTTCTTAGAAGTTATCAATATTTATTTGGTTATTTAGCATTTTTTTCTAATAAGAGGTTTTCATCTATTTCTGCAATCAATTTAGGTAAGCGCCAAGTAAATTTAAATATAATAACGTGAAATATTCGGTTCTGTTCCTTTTTTTTATTGTTGTATTGACTTTTGAAATTGAACATTGTTCGTTATCTTCATATATTTTATTTAATTGGTAACAAATACTACATGCAGAAGTTCATTTTTAATGTTCTTTCTTAAGAGAAGGTATGACAAAATAGTTAAAGAAACATATGGAAATAAACAAGAGGCCCATGGGCCACATCGCTCACCTGAGAAGCTTTGACCATTCTGTTCTTTACCAGATTTCCCCCTTGTTATACATAATGCATCCCCACCCTACCCCACTAATCATAATTTAGACATTTTGAAATCTACACTACCCCATGATCCTTCCATGGGAACATATGTTTCAGCTTTTTTGGCCAAGTGGTTCCTGAGAAGAAGATTTTCAAAGATTTTTCCTATATATTTCTATGTAAAACTTTGATTCCCCTATAATGGCTCCGCCCTTCCCCCGGGGGTCATGTTTCCTACAATTTAGAATTTACACTACCCCAGAATGCTTCCACATAAGCTTCACTTTTTCTTGCCCAGTGGTTCTTGAGAAGAAGATTTTCAAAGATTTTTCCTATATATTTCTATATAAAACTTTGATTCCCCATTGTGGCCCCGCCCTTCCCCCGGGGGTCATGATTTGAACAATTTAGAATCTACATTATACCAGGATACTTCCACATAAGTTTCAGCTTTTCTGGCCCAGTGGTTCTTGAGAAGAAGATTTTCAAAGATTTTTCCTATATATTTCTATGTAAAACTTTGATACTCCATTGTGGCCCCGCCCTTCCCCCGGGGGTCATGATTCCTACAATTTAGAATTTACACTACCCCAGAATGCTTCCACACAAGCTTCACTTTTTCTGGCCCAGTGGTTCTTGAGAAGAAGATTTTCAAAGATTTTTCCTATATATTTCTATATAAAACTTTGATTCCCCATTGTGGCCCCACCCTTCCCCTGGGGTCATGATTTGAACAATTTAGAATCTACATTATACCAGGATGCCTCCACATAAGTTTCAGCTTTTCTGGCCCAGTGGTTCTTGAGAAGAAGATTTTCAAAGATTTTTCCTATATATTTCTATGTAAAACTTGGATTCCCCATTGTGGCCCCGCCCTTCTCCCGGGGGTCATGATGTGAACAATTTAGAATCTACACTATACCAGGATGCTTCCACAGAAATTTCAGCTTTTCTGGCCCAGTGGTTCTTAAGAAGAAGATTTTCAAAGATTTTTCCTATATATTTCTATATAAAACTTTGATTCCCCATTGTGGCCCCGCCCTTCCCCCGGGGGTCATGATTTGAACAATTTAGAATCTACACTACCCCAGGATGCTTCCACATAAGTTTCAGCTTTATTGGCCCAGTGGTTCTTGAGAAGAAGATTTTTTAATGACCCAACCCTATTTTTCTCTTTTCTTGATTATCTCCCCTTGCGAGGGGATATGTCCCTTCATTTTAATAATTTAAATTCCCCTTTACCCAAGGATGCTTTGTACCAAGTTTGGTCAAAATTGGCCCAGTGGTTCTTGAGAAGAAGTCGAAAATGTGAAAAGTTTACAGACGGACAGACAGACGGACGGACGGACGGACGGACGACGGACAAAACGTGATCAGAAAAGCTCACTTGAGCCTTCAGCTCAGGTGAGCTAAAACAGTATTCAAAAAACTGGAGTTTAAGCAATATATCTGTTGTTGTACCAGAAGGTAAACTGTTGCTCTTGGACTGTGGTCTGTTAATACACTTTCCAAAGAAATTTTAATAGATGAATACAATCATGCAGATAAAATTCAAGTTAAAAACTACAAAAGCAGATTATTTGAATTGTAGCCAACTTATCGATTGGAAATCACATTTCTAAAATGATATGTACAAAGAAAATTAGCGTATGTTTAAAGAATTAAGGGTGTTGAAATTTTAAACATTAAAACTGCTAACCATCAATAATATTTGACTGATTGTTTGTTGGTTGTTTTACATTATTGTGAGAATTTGAACGTCATGGGCTCCAATTTGTACATATACTCGGCAGTCAGAGCCATTTAGCAGTGGCAAATTCTACACGGAACCTTTGCTCATTATGCCATTTTAAAAAGTCCCATGCATAAATTGTAGTTCTTTTGCCAAGGACGTAGAACCCGTGTCTCTATCTTTGATAAAAATCGTAAGTTTGAACGAGAGTTGATCCCAGAGTCCAGATTAAGAAAAACATGATCTTACACTAGGCTCACGATAGCAACATTTATGTTTAGACAATGTATGAAACCTATAATACGCTGCTTTGGTGATGAAAGTTTCTTCAAAGGATCTTTCTTTTTTTCTTATTAGTGGAATTTTTCATGTTGTTGTCAATTGTCTATAATCGTTTTAGAGCTATATTGGCGCTGTCTCTACTCTCGAAAGTAATACCCTGAAATATCAAATTTATTTTTACAGTATACATTTGAATTTTACTTTTATATGATTATTTTCTTAATTCAGAAGACAGAGAAAAAAATTATCAAAATTACAAATTTCCACAGTTTAAGTAGGTTAATAGAAGTAACCAAGATGTTATTAAAAGATAAATCATGTATTTAAGAAGATACCTTAATGCAATTCCCTTCGATTACTCCTTTCAGAGAACCTTCTTCTTCAGATTGGATCTTTAATATCAATAAGCTTTAATGTTAAAATTTCGCCCCATTTTAGAAATAACTTACTTATATCTTCTTGATTCTATTCCAACTAGCACATACAATTAATTTTTCTGTATTGTTTACCTTATCAGATAGAAATAAACATCAATGGTATCATCCAATGCATTACGTTTCAAAAATATGATAGACGATGACATCATATGCATGATTATATAAGATTAAATTGATCTAAAGTTACATATGTATTTGTTTTATCTTTTGTATCTAGAAAATAACTCACTTTAGACAACAAAGAAAACTTTTGTTTGTTTTCATGGACAGTTGATTGCTGTTCATAAATGTAGAAAGCCTACTTCTCCAATTTTCTGAATCTTTTTTATGTATTCTCTCAACAAGCGACTTTTTGATCTGAAGCATAGAATTTTCTTTTTGTTTATCCAGCAAATTATATTTGCTGACAAGAATTGATTAAAAAATATGATAAAAATATCACCAGTTCTCTGTTATTTACTGTCCTTACCTTTTGTACTTAAAAGACATTTGGAGATGAAAATGCAAAGCCCCTTAAAAGATATAAGCGTACAAATTATATTGCAAAAGATTATCTAATTATTTGATGGTTAAGTCCGTGCTATGAACTACATGTTCAATAGTAAAGGACACTTATTTATCAAATAAAATTGGCATATTCTTACAATGTTAAAAAATATTAATTAAACATCTTGTCAGAGAAGAAATATGGTAACATTTCTCCATATGTTGTCGATTTATTTGCAAGATATTTGCTTCTGTAATAAATTCCCAATCCAGCTACAAAACATTTAACATTTTCTATAAAATTTATATTTCAATTCTAAAAATAAATACCTGAAAGGAATTCAACAGACAAAATATTTACTGAAAAACGACCACATCCTCATTAATTGACAAGAGGCCAAACAACCACGTGACACCGAGAACAGGCAACAGGGTACAGATGGACTTTATTCCGGCTCTGAATAAAAACAAATGAATTATTTAAAAGATAGGCCCTTTTTCAACTTTTAATATTCAGTAAACTAGTCCACGAAACATGGCAAACCATTCTTTATTAATCCATCTTTTCATATAAAACATTTACTGGCGCGACAGCTTTACTTATAAATAAGTCATCAAATATTATTCTTTTGTTTCTATTTTAACCCTGTTTGAGTACGCATCAGTCACCACATGCATGAAATATGCATTAAACATACAGTATTCATGATAAAAATTCACTAAAACAATATAAATCAGTAGCGGAGCAAACCTGACCCTCTACAAACGTCAGAGGTGGTATCATTTTTTGAATTAAAATCCAAACTGACTTACAATTTCCTGTTCCTCCTCTTATCTTGTGGTGAGTATCCAATCGAGCAAAAAGTTACCTAAAGGATAATAACAATGACAATATTGATCTGAAATTAGTAAAAATTTCAAAAATGAAGCTAGTTACACTATCAACAAGCCTTGCCAAGTTCGCGCCATTCACTTTGTTCAAATGAAGAAGTACAGTATCGCTTCGCAAATAAATTTAATGCACAGGAAATATATAAATAAATAAAATTGATCCTAAACGTATTACCATGGGCTTTGCTATAATAAAAAAAGCCGCAGGGTTCTCCATCGTTTGAAATGTTACTGTATTGCAGAGTTTACTCAAAGCAGTTAAATTTCGCATTATTTTCGCGATCCAATTATCGACTGAATCACTTATTCATTATAAATACAAAAGAATACATGCACACACTTATTTTTTAAAAATCGCTAATTTGTTAAACTAATGGTATGGTCGCACATATTGATAGAAGTAAAAACACATGTTTTGAAAAGCAGAGGAAATTCTGGTCGATACAGTCGAACTACTTACCAATTTTGAAAGTCAATTTGCCGTGATGTTGTCAGTTTTCTTGATCGAATTGCCAAATTATAAAAAAAGAAACTTCAATTATTATTAGAGTTCCTTGAAAATTAATTTAAAACTTTTTTACATCAATCGTAAATGATTTCGATATGATGTTTGTACAACATAGTTCTAAAGCCGTGGCTCTATAGAAAACATTTAAATATTTTTTTAAAAATTAAATATGATGTATTTTTAATGCAACTACATTTACCAATTAACCGTTACTAGAAGTGTGAAAACAAATTTTCTTTGTTCCTTCATGCAAAAACTCCAGCGAGGGTCTGGGAGATAATTGGTGTAATATGCGAGGTGAAGCCCTAGTTAATTGCTCTACCCGTTAGAATTGAAAGACGGTAAAATTGTTTGTTTAATACGAAAGCCCAGAAGGCTCATTCGAGATTCAAGTTTCGAAATACGAGATTCAAAATTCGAGATTCGAAATTCGAGTTTCGAGATTCAAGATCCAGATTAACCAATCAAAAGGCTCATTCGAGATTCGAGGTTCGAAATACGAGATTCGAAATTCGAGTTTCGAGATTCAAAATCCAGATTAACCAATCAAATGCGGGTTCAACATTTGATTACTTCCCATTATTATTTTTTTTTCTATCAATAAATCGTTTAATATATTTATAACAAATGAGTCATTTGATTAAATTACAATGCAAGAAAGAGTGTTATATATATTAGAAGGAAAGTTAAATAATCATTGGATTTTTGATCAGCAAGATATACTTCAATTTATATTATGACTTCTTAAATATTAAATAGAATACATATATCAGGAATATATATATTTTTGCATTGTCTACTTTATATAAAGGGTTGTTGACATAATGATAAAGATATAAATAGTGACTAAAGATTAACACAATCCACACCGCTACACGCAACATCTGCCAATATTTCCCGACACTGAAAATGTTACTTTAAAAACTTGAAAGGCAATGTAGCCTTGATAAATAAAAACTGGGTATATTTTAGTCTTTGACCATAAGGCTATGGTCAGAGACTAAAATATAAAACCATAACGCTATAGTACTGCAGCTAGATTAGACTAATCTACTGTTTGATATCAGATAAAATGAATGCTGCATTTATTCTAATTCATATTTGCAATCTGTATTGTATATATAATTGTTAATTAATTCAAGAGATCAAAGCCTTAGATGAAGATAAGTAATTGTAAACTTTATTTGTATGTATTCCCTCTATTAGGAAAACGAGCGCGATTTTTATTTAACAATGCTACATTGCCTTTCAAGTTTTTAAAGTAACATTTTCAGTGTCGGGAAAAATTGACAGGTGTTGCGGGCAGGGGTTGGGATTTTGTTAATCTTTAGACACTATTTATAACTGTATTATTATGTCAACAACCTTTATATAAAGTAGACAATGCAAAAATATATATATTCCTGATACATGTATTCTATTCAATATTTAAGAAGTCATAATATAAATTAAAGTATATCTTGCTGATCAAAAATCCAATGATTATTTAACTTTCCTTCTAATATATATAACACTCTTTCTTGTATTGTAATTTAATCAAATGACTCATTTGTTTTAAATATATCAAACGATTTATTGATAGATAAAACAAAATAAAGGGGAATAATCAAATGTTGAACCCGCATTTGATTGGTTAATCTGGATTTTGAATCTCGAAACTCGAATTCCGAATCTCGTATTTCGAACCTCGAATCTCGAATGAGCCTTTTGATTGGTAAATCTGGATCTTGAATCTCGAAACTCGAATTTCGAATCTCGAATTTTGAATCTCGTATTTCGAAACTTGAATCTCGAATGAGCCTTCTGAGCTTTCGTAGTTTAAAGTTTCAGTTAGAGAGAATTTATGTGTTTGGGTTTTCTGATTTTCACAGATCTAACTGTGTCGGCAAAATTTTAACTGTGTTGCACGCATAAAATTTGAACCGTTACTGAGTCAGAGAAAATTTTACTGTGTCGGGAGCAACACAGTAAAACAGCTCACGGAGAACCCTGTAAGCATTGTTCAACCTTGATCATACATTAAAATAAATGAGATTAAATAAATTATATGAAATGAAAAATATCTACCAGAACGATGCAAGCTACAGGTCCAATGAAGCCATACAAAGCCCCAGTTTCAAGTTATAACCAGCAACTGTAGAAAGCATTGAAACAATTAGTATGGATTTGAATATGTTAAAAAATATATTAAAGGATAAAAATGATAAAGATTTTACCTGGTCTATGAATGGTAGTCCTTGTTCAAGGAATATACAACTCCAAATGTTGTTGCAGTTATAAACGCTGGCAAAACTAAAATAAAGTAAGATTATTTCTATCTAAATATCAATATTAACATATTAAAAGGTCTTCAATAACGATATAATTGTCATTTAAATTTGTTTTTTTTCCCATCGACAAAATAAGTTTTACTCACCAGTTACAATTCCCCAGATGATTTTTCCGAAGAAATTAGCTTTACTTTGAAACGTTGTTGCTTTTGAAAATGATATTTTGATCAGTGAAATGCTACTGAAATAGTACAAACCAATGGCCAGCATCAGAAAGAAAATAAAAAGGCACAGATAATGTAACAATGCTGTAATCACGGTACATCCAACCTGAAACATAAAGCAGAGTCGTCACAATTTGCTTTGACTTGTTATTCCCAGTTCTGTTAAAGTAAATTAAAACAGTTTATAAACCACGTTTCCAATAATGAAAGCGTTATTATAATCATGGTTAACTGACTAAAAACTTTCCTTATTGTCTAAGAAAAAATAGGTTTTGACTGATCCTCTAAACTCGTTTGTGAGACGTATAGAAATACCGCTATATTGAACCCAAAATATAACGAAAGATGGCTTGTTTCAGCACATTGTTAAATCATAACATTTAAAACATTTTATTGTTTTCTGTTATCTAAAGATATTTGAGTGAATTTTGCATGAAGCCTGTCGCTGCCAATCCTATTTGCCCAAAATAGAATGTCAACCTTCTTTCTAACTATTCGTTATCTCCATTTGTTTCATGTAATGCAGAGATTCCGAAAACCAAATTTTTCTATCAGTCATTCGGACTGATGACTTAATGTGTTCTATCAGTCCGAAACATATTCTATCAGTCCGAATAAATTTTCAAAATATACAGTGATTTCTCATGTCATATGTAATTCAAAGAAAATGGCATTGAATATGTAAAAAAAATTGTGGCTCACAAACACTGATTGTGATACCAGGAATATAAAATGCAACTATAATTAATTCAAACATGGCACCAGGTCACACAGGCTTGTGGCAGCACACTAGCCCCAAGTAAATATTGTGAAAAAGAAACAACTAATTACAAAAAAGTTAATTCTTGAAAAAGAAAACTTCTCAAGGTTTCTAGAATTCTTTTTTAAAATATGAAGTTTAATTCTCACTTGTAAATTTGAATCATATATAAATAGCAGTAGAAATTCAAAATAAAAGTAAATTTTAAAAAATAGTCTTTACGTTTTCTCAGTGGGCATTGCACCTCATGACCTATATACTGCATGTGTTGACCAATAACAGAGGAATGGAGGAAATTCGGATTATGAAAAAACGATCGTTTTTGGAAGTAAATAAGTCATGTAGAACTGCAAAATGGATAAGATAATGGATATTTACGAATAATAGGAGCTTGCTGCTTTGAAATTTTTCATTTACGAAGATATTGCAATAGATTACAGTACAATAAATTAATCAGGACAAGCCCTCACCACAATCGGTCACACGGACCGGTACTGTAACGAATTTCATTGGACATTTCGATTTTCTATCGGTTTTGCCGGTAGGACCGATAGTTTTCGGAAACTCTGGTAATGTATATTACATGAAGCATTTTAGTTAGCTAGTTAGTTAGGAGAGTTAGTTAATTTGAAATAAAACCATAATTAAAAATACACGTATTTAATAAATCAATCATATTTGACCTTACCTTATGCTGAATCTTGTCCACTCGTATTAGAAATATCGTGAACGCCAGGGAAATACCGAGGCACAAAAGAGCGATGATCTCATTGACCATTCTGCTGACTTTACATGTGATAGATCTGCAAGAGAGGGAATTAAGAAACTATGGGTTTTATTATGGATCATACGTTGTAAATGCTTCTTACCCTTGAATATAGTCGCACCAGTACTGCAAAATTTGTCAAGTGGTTGCATTCACATATAACGCAAGGATATTTTCAGATTGTATTTTACATCCAATACTCACCAGTACTCTCACATTTAGATCAATTACCCTGTATAACGTATTTCACAAAACTTCATTGAAATATAAATAGAAATGTATTAAAATGAAGGTATTTTAATTCTTTCAAAGGTACTATTATAAACAATTCGGTACCTACTTTACGTGAAAATCCCTAAATAAATATTCGTTGATGGAATTTAAATCCTGGGTAAAAAAAAACAAAACAACGATATAGGGAAAATGCAAAGAGGGAATGCAAATATAGCTATAAAGATTCTCAATTTCATTTAAATTTTAACCCACTTCCTGTTTTGAGAATTTCAAATGCAGTGGAGGAGCTAGTGATTTGTCGAGCAAAATGTCATTAACTGTTATTGTCAACATATCAGAGGAAATTCTGTATCCTGAATTTTCATGTTTGAAAAAAAAGAGAAATTCATTAGAGTGCTTCGTCTTATCTACAAGTCAAGTTTAATGTCAACTTTTATAAAACTTCTTACCTCTTGATGTTGGTAATTAAGTTTCCTAGCGTTTTGTAATTCACCGCAAGATTAGGTAAACCTATTAATTGGAAGTAAATGTAAAACCCTTTGAATTTGAATATAGCTTAACATTGAAACAAATAATATAACTAAATTAAATTCATTTTGAGGAGATAAGTCTGTGCTAAAATAAACACACACGATAAACTTGAATGAACAAATGAATTTGAACACAGCTTAAGAATGAACAAGTGATAAAACCAAAGTAAATTTACTTTGAAGAGATCCATACGCCTGTGCTGGAAGCACCAGTGATGAACCTAAGGTGTTGTTGTTTGTCGAGAAAATTATAGTATCATTTCCCAGACGTTTCGCAGCCTTAAATACTAAAAAAAATTAAATATTTTTATGTTAATCTCTCTGAAAGAAGCTTAAATATAAGTATAAAAATGAATTTTGTAATTTAATTGATGTTTATTACATATATTCTTGGTTGCGTAAAAAGTGATGCTTTCGTTTTCGTTGATGGTCTCTAAGACAAGTAAGCCGAATTTGTCAACAATTCTGAAGATTTTACTTACTCGTCTACTGTTTTGTGTGAGGAAAATAAGAAAAATGAAGCTTAATATAAAAGAAAACAAAGTTTTATAAAAAAAAAAAAAAAAACATTTTCTTGCTTTAAATAAATCACGAACTTATAATACCTTTTCAGCAGAAATGTTTTTCCATGCAGCTGTGTGATTCTCGGCTAGTAGGTTGTCAATTGTTGTCACAATATCCTAAATGACATTATATCAGTATTGAGGAATGAACATGGCAAATGATTGATGAAATAAAATATCCACATATAAATTAAACTTACCGTCTTTGGAAGTGTAATATTAAACTTCGTGCAATCATCCAAAATTTTATCTACAATATCTAGGAAATTGTCTAAATCTTCTGAAGTTAGCACGTTGGTGATTGAAATGTCTTGCAATCTGCTTAGTACATTGTCAATCCGCATATCTTTCTCTGTTTGCGGTAAGTCTTCGCTCGGAACTGTTTCAACCTTGTTAAAAAATATTTTTAAAAATCATAATCTTGAAAAATAGTGTTCCTGTTAACTTTTATAAATACATTGTTTATATTTATGCATACCGTTTCTCTGATATTGTTCTTAGTCACATAATTAGCATGTTGTTCCTGGTGATTCCAGTCCTCAAAGAATGGCGTTGCTGTACGTTATTAAAAATGCATAGATTTAAATACATCATTACTTAAACAACTTTAACATCTTAAAATTTAGATGAACAAAATTTATAGATAAATTCAAGGAGAGGCATATGCGCAACATGCATTGTAGCAGAGATTAAATTAAAAAAAGATCTACTTATCGCAAAATGTTGCATAGTCAATTGGAATTATGTTTTCTGATGATAACGCAGCAGTAGTGGTGAAACAACGTCGCCCATTATGTAAAAGCGTTTGAACTTCCCTATTGATACTGTTTATCAATATTGGTAATTTTTTTAACCATGATAATAAAACGAACAGAAAACTTGCAGTTTCCGTCCAGTTATAATTGAAACGACCCATGGCTTGCTTTGGTGAGCAGAGTTTCCGAAAACTATCGGTCCTACCGGCAAAACCGATAGAAAATCGAAATGTCCGATGAAATTCGCTACAGTATCGGTCCGTGTGACCGATTGTGGTGAGGGCTTGTCCTGATTAATTTATTGTACTGTAATCTATTGCAATATCTTCGTAAATGAAAAATTTCAAAGCAGCAAGCTCCTATTATTCGTAAATATCCATTATCTTATCCATTTTGCAGTTCTACATGACTTATTTACTTCCAAAAACGATCGTTTTTTCATAATCCGAATTTCCTCCATTCCTCTGTTATTGGTCAACACATGCAGTATATAGGTCATGAGGTGCAATGCCCACTGAGAAAACGTAAAGACTATTTTTTAAAATTTACTTTTATTTTGAATTTCTACTGCTATTTATATATGATTCAAATTTACAAGTGAGAATTAAACTTCATATTTTAAAAAAGAACAAACCTTGAGAAGTTTTCTTTTTCAAGAATTAACTTTTTTGTAATTAGTTGTTTCTTTTTCACAATATTTACTTGGGGCTAGTGTGCTGCCACAAGCCTGTGTGACCTGGTGCCATGTTTGAATTAATTATAGTTGCATTTTATATTCCTGGTATCACAATCAGTGTTTGTGAGCCACAATTTTTTTTACATATTCAATGCCATTTTCTTTGAATTACATATGACATGAGAAATCACTGTATATTTTGAAAATTTAACTGATAGAATATGTTTCGGACTGATAGAACACATTAAGTCATCAGTCCGAATGACTGATAGAAAAATTTGGTTTTCGGAATCTCTGGGTGAGAATTTAATCACAAACTCAAACAACAAATTTATCATAAATAGAATTTTATCAGTTAGTTTG